AGCATGTTGTATCATCTTTATCATCTGATGGAATATCTTCTCAGCCCGCCGTTCCATCTTCATCATCTGGTGCAGTCTCTTCACGACAAACTGGACGTAGTACTAGCAATGAAGAGCCTCATTGGTTTGTCGATGTTATAGGTACATATAAATTTCAAGTGATTGAGTATTCTTTTTGTTTTCCTCGTTTAATGTTTTAACTTGACTTTATTTTGTTGTAGATGAACGTCAAGTAATCAAAACAATTAGATTGAAGGTTAAGGATGTCCATAACTTGGATAAAGGATTGCGTATAATTGTAGAATTTGATGAATATCATGCAGCAATTGGGAAATCGGCTGGCCTAATTGTTGGAGTTTTAGGGCAGCTAGCAACAAATCCTATGTACTTTCCTATTGGCTTTGAGAAATGGCAATCCATGCCCAAATCTTTTCTGGACCGTGTTTTTAATGATATAATAGTGGTAATTCCATCTAAATTCTTTTGTTTAGTTTGTATCTTTTAGTTGTATATGTAAAACTACAGTAAATTAACTTACTTTATATTTGTGAAGCCTCGATTTTTTTGTACAATTGATCAACAAAAGGCAAAGGCATGGCTTAACAGTTCCATTAACAAAAAGTGGAGGGAGTACAGGCTAAAACTATGGAAGGAGGCTGACGATCCATTATTAAGTAAAGAAGATATCATCAAGAACGTTCAGGATGGCATACCGATGGACCAATGGGCACTGTATGTTACTTATCGCATGAAAGAGGAGACAAAGGTACTTTCTTCTGCTATTGCTACTTCTGCTTCTTCTTCTGTTTCTGTTGCTTTTTTTTTTCTACTGCTTCTCTGCTTCATCTGCTATTGTTGCTTTTTCTTCTTCTGCTACTACTTCTTCTGCTTCTTATTTTGTTTCCGCTGCTTCTTCTGCTATTGTTGCTTCCGCTACTGCTAATTCTGCTTCTTCTTTTGCTTCTGTTGCTTCTTCTTTTGCTTCTGCTTCTTCTGCTATTGTTGCTACTGCTATCTGCTTCTTTAGGCTATCTGCTTCTTTGGACTCTCAAGTCGAAATGCAACTATTAACATTGAGGTGCAGTATTTAGTGAGTTTGGGGATGTTTGCATTACTGTAAAGTCTAACTAGTTTGGGAATGAGGTGCACTGACTAGTGAATTTGTTTGATGTTTAGAGGCGAATTATGTTTTAGGCCTTGTACAAAGCATATTGATGAAATCGTGTGATTTCAACAAGCTCTGTTGGTTAGGGAACAATAACTTTCTGGAGATTAAGTATATTGGGCTTAATTGTTAATGGATCAGGAAGAGGTCTTAGCCTGGTAAGCTAGAGGTTTGATACAATCAACTTTTTCAGACCAGTTGAATAATGTAGTTACGTCGTATTGACTGAAATGTTTTACACAAATTGTCCGAAGGCATTAACACTATCCTTTATAGAAAGCCTCAAAGTGTTGCCTGCTGTCATCTAAAACTTTTTTTTTGGCATTTCTTTTTATGGAAAACAAAGCAGCTGTTTTTCCAGAAAAATGAAAAACATAACAAAGAGATTCTCAGAAATCTTTC